AGCACGTCCTCGCCGGTGCTTGAAAACGGAAGGTGTTTGTCTTTTTTTTTTTTTTTTTTTTTCTTCCAGGACTCTCAGAGTAGGTTAATGTAACAGCCGTGTATAACTATTGTACAGCAGCAAAGTCAAGGTCAATTGGATTTATCGAGTGTCGGAGCTTTACGGGCGCTAACGAGGATTATAGGGAGACGTCTTTTACAGGCTTTTGCGGCGTATTTTAACATTTACTATTCACACTTTTTGTACAAACACGAGCAAGTTAATATATAGTGTTTACGAATCTCTTTGCTTTTTTCATTTTTTTTTGTTTTTTTTTTTTTTGTTTTCTGTCATTTGCAATTGAAGTTAAAGATGTTACCCACTTGTGTGGGAAAGTAAAAAATTTGCGTGGCTTTTTTTTAAAAACCCACTGAGATTACATATCGTGGACCTGTAGAACATACAAACATATTATTGTACAATGTTTTTGGGATATTTAAAAAAACTTTTCATATTTCTCTTTAAAAACAAAAATTTCGTCCTCGTGTGTTCATACGCAATTAGTCGACATTTACATCCACCATACAACAGGATTCCAAAAGGTATATGTATTGCATTTCATCCAAAATAGGATAGTAAAATAATTACAATACGGAAATGTATGGGAAAAGGCTAGGCCTGAAAAATGTATTCAGTCGAGGCGCGTCAAGTTGAAGTCAATAGTGGAAAAACATGTATGAACAATTTGTGATGCGGATCGCGAAAAGTAGTCAACATCACGTATCGTAAAATTATATTAATTTCATTGTCAAGATGAACCTTTGCCAGTTGACTCATGACACCTTCAAACTACTCGATGAATATCAAATGATGCAGTTTTTATGCACGTATATATATGTATATATGTATAAGAAATAACAATGGATACCAAAATAATACTCGAATCGCCGTTCCATGGAAAAAATACGCGAGATAAGGTATTAATCTTCGCCTAACAAAAAACTGGTGGCATTATTCATATTCACTTGAACACGACCAACACGACTTCCAATCGCGAGGCAATCGTTTTATATACTTTGAACATTTGCATGACTCTCTTATCACAGTTTCACGCGATACATTTTTCCAAGGGTAACGCGATGACTGAGCTTCATTATTTTTCACGCGCAAGTAAAAAAAAAAAAAAAAAAAAAAATGCATCGAGTACAATCGATACGTCCCTTTGACAACTACGACGACACAGCCACACACACGTATACGCTTTTCCCGCTCAGGTATATACACAATGCAATGTACCAGTACCCGGGAAAAAAGATCTTCGATTATGTAACGCAGTACATTCGGATGTCCAGGATTTTCTTTGGCATTGTTTGTTCAGTCCCCACCCCATTATCGTTTTGGCGATCGAAAGCGATATCTCTGCAATTGACGCGATGACGTACGCATGCAGTTAATTGTTTACGTAAGAGGTATTACTTCCTTACAATCGGCAGGATATCACCACCGGTGAGGAATTTGCAGCTTTTCGGATCCTTCAGGTTTGGAGTGCTCAATCAATATTTCACTTTATTTTTGCCTTCGGGATCGGTTGGTTAAAGTTTTTTATCGTGAAGCTATAAGCACAGTTACAGATTCGTCCAATGTAAATTCAACTTGTTGACTAATTTGTCGGGGATGCAAAGAAAAATAATCTACCTATATTCGATACTTCATTCGAGATCATAATTCCGCGTGCCGTACGCGCGACAGAATGACTCTCATCGAGACAAGAAAAAAAAAAAAAAAAAAAAAAGAGGATGAAAAAACAAGAAAAATCNTTTTTTTTTTTATTTTATTTTGTCAAACATGCAAGCGTTTCGCTAAAATTGAAGATTTCAGTGGGTGAAGGAGATGGATTTATCAGCGAACGGGCGTCCACAGAGACGTTTATCCTCTCTTTACACCGGAAAACGAACGAGATTTTCACAACTGTTTAGTCACCGTTGCTCGTGACTCATGTTGTTTTCCCGTATAAAACCCCTTATTCCTTTGCTCCCAAACAAACGCATTAAATTTTATCTCCTAGTAAAAGAAAAAAAAAAGAAAAAAATGGCACTCTGAAATTTCTTTTGTACATTATTCTTCCGAGAAATTATCACGTACGAACTGCTGAATGATCGGTATATACGTGTATACCTTAGGTGTGCACTTCGATTCGTGGAAATGCGAACAAATAACTTCAACGGCCGCATAAATAACACAAAAAGCGCCGCATTAACGAGATTAATGAGACCGTAGTATGTTATGTACCTGGGGCCGGGCAAACGGATTTCAAGTGCGTGGGTATATGCTTAACAAAGTTTGCCAAGTAAACGCCGCTCGAGCGAATTACCGAGCTCCCGCGAGTTTTTGTGCCGCGATCGATACTCTGCTCGAAAGATTCATTAAAACAAACAATGAATGAGCTCAGTAGGTTTTTTTTTTTTTCGCTCGACTTTGCATTGTTTGCATATATACAGGGTCATCGACCGATCCACATCGTGTACAGCTGAACTATGAGAAAAAAAGAACAAAAATCGATCGCTAAAAAGCTCCCGTTTGAGCTTTTGGTAGAAATGATTTTTTATTTTTTTATGGATTACCAAATGGTGCGCGAAACCTTTGTTTCACCACGAGTTTCCCCACTCGTTACATTCATTGATATTTTTTTTTCGTCAAAACGCACAAACACATCATACGCATCACGTTGCTCAATCGATAACTTTCACGATTCCTCGACGACGTTGTCAATATTGCATAACTTGTTCGAAAGGCAGTTTTTTTTTTTTTTTTTTTTTTTTACATAAAATCCAGGAAATATAACTCTTTGAGATTTTTACAAATCCCGTATATATATACCTATGGTTGAACAGTTATGCTTCGCTGGCTCGCCATCCTATTGTTACCGAGTTTATTTATCCTTCGTACGTATATCGAGGGAACAAAAAAAAAAAATGAAGCGCAGCTCACGATTTTTTATCGCGCGATTAATGATGATACACGCCAAGTTCGGACTTTATACCGCGAGCGACTTCGCTGTGCACATGCATGGTACGGTACACCCACGCGAATGTCGGGCACCGAACTCTCTTGCGACTATTATCATATATTTTACGCAAAAAAAAAAAAAAAAAAAATGAAGCTAGTTCTCGCGAGTTAAAAAAGCGAATGAGTTTATCTGAAAGGCGCAAATTGAAAATAGGTACACGCGCATCGAGCGCATAATTATACACACAAACGAAAAATATAATGCAGTATCATATATATAGGTACGAGGATTACGCAACACCTGCGTGCACTTTCGTGCGATGCATAGACGCACAGGTGGATATTACTATTCTCGGGAGAGCGTCTTCTGCCATTGTATAGTGGAGCAGGGAACCATGGCCTACTTGATCAAACAAAAAAAAAAAAAAAAAAAATATTGAATGTTAATGCAACAAACTACTCGCGGCGATAAAACAATTTTAAGACGACGTGCGAAATTAATTGGAATATCGGTACGCGGACACGCGGAAAACGAGATGCCGAGAGCCGTGTACAATCAAGACCGGAGAGTGTGAGAACCTGTACGTAGATTAATCAAACACTTTTTCATTTCAATGTTAACACAAGTTTAACCCCAACTGAACTTCATTCCGATAATTGTGTCATTCAAAACAATTAAGTTGATACGTACAACCGCGTAACGAGTGTAAATACATAAAGCAGATATATACGGTTGTTATTGTGTATAATTTTTTGCAAGCACTGGTGTGACCCGCTAATCGTTTCGCGGTCTCTCAACATCGACCCGAGTTTTCGAGGGGGAAAAAAAGAGTCATCGCTCACGGTATGTGTACTCTCGCGTACACCTTCGATTTTCTCCGTCATACGGATTCGCGATGACCTTGCCATGGTATATCGAGCGGCCAGCGGTGCTCCTCATTTTCTCTTCTCTTCATCCTAAAACTCGCACACCTATACACAATATGTATATTATTTTACAACGTTTTTGTTCGTTTGTCTGGTAAAAATCGGGGGGGGGAAAAAAAAAGACGAGCTACCACCGTACGGACACAGCATGCAAATTCTCACGTGTTAGATTCGCTTAATGTCGATGATCACGCAAAGTCGCGTGCAACAGAGATGTGCCATGTTTACCTGTTACGTATAAAAAACATCGATTATTGGGTAACAGCGTATACGTGTAAAGTGAATGCAGTAACGCGTTTTGGAGCGATAATACATATTATACGTATTATGCATACATGTACAAAGTTGTAAATTGAAAACGCAAGACAACAAAGTACCAACGGTGTATTCCTGCCTAACGCTTCAGCGAAAAAAAAAATCGTCAGATCTCGCAACGATTTATTCAAAAGTGAAAATCGAAGGTGTCAATTGGGCTGCACGTTATACGGACACGTATATAGCAGTACAGGTGCGTCTTCGGTGTACTTATGCACGGGAAAAAAAATCGGCATCCTTGATATATAATTTCATCGCCTTCCAAGGCCCTCCCTCGTTTGACACGACTCAAATTATCCACCTCCAACCGATTTCCTTTCACAAATTTCAACCTACACTGTCAGACTAGACGCGTACGTAAGTATACTGCACATTAATTGACCAACAAACAAACCGATAAGCCGCTCGTACACTCACCTACATATACAGAGCCGCGAACGTGCAGTGTACTCTCGCCTTTGCAGTTTTTCTACACATGTACATAAATATATTATATCTCGGTACGCGCCACGATTGCCCGATAGCTGCGATGCGCAACAATTATATGCTTGCTCGCTCGGTTTAAAAGTCTCCCTTGCGCGATTGCACGCGCGCGCATAATGCATCGGCATCGACGATCGAGCGTCTTGTTTACAAGCAAACGATTGCAAGAGGTGTGGGATGAGGGGAAATAAAAAGCTCGCATTCGCGGCCACACGAGGAATCGGTTAGTTAAAAATTTACATTAACATGCTCGGGAAGGGAAAAAACGTCGTAGCGAGCAATTAACTCACTTCCAAGGTGGTGTCGACGCGTTGGCTCCTTTCTTGCCGTTGATCCTCCGAGTGGATGGCGTATGTCTACGGCGAAAGCTTGTCAAAAGCGCACAAACACTCGTCAACACCCACTGATTTGTCTCTCACGTGATCGGTAATGGATTTATTTCGATCGCAGCGAGGGATGACGATCAAATAACCGATCTCGAAGGGACAGTGGCATCGGAAGGTGTCCGGTACCAGTCGGTGAAAACTACTCTTTGCGCGACACGCGACGCATCGTCGCTCACACATTTGCGGTACAGAAAAAAGAAGAAGAAGCACGAGAGAGCCTTATTACTTATTAGCGCGCCGCTAACGTACGTCGCGATGTAAAACGCGGTACTGATGGTATAGAGAGAGAGAGAGAGAATAAGATGAGGCAATGTATATATTGTTACGTGATGTGATGCAGTGCGACTCGCCAATCGAGTTGAGCTGATATAGATAGCAAGGGAAAAAGAATAACGAATAGAAGCTCTACGATACAATACATTGTGCAGCGGCTCGGTGGCAGCACCACTCGGAGACGAGCTTCATCAAACAAGTATATTATATGGGGATAAATTACCCATTTTTTTTTTTTTTTTTTTTTTTTTTGCTTAAAGAATGACAATGTGTGTATATATGCTTCTTATTTGGATTGATATTTTGCATGTGTAACGAAACATTATGTTTAACAGCAGCCAATGGCCTATTAACGTTAGAATTTCGATTATGCCTGGTATGCAAATGGAAATGTGCAGTGAGTGTTGCTAAAAGTGGGTATAGGTTGTTTGGACGTGGACGAGCAGTTGACACGGAAAAAAAAAAATAAAATAAATAACAGTAAAAAATGAAAACGACATGCAAAACCGAGGGTTAGTTAATGTAGCTGAAAGTAAATTGATGTTGCATGTTGCTTTAAATAAAATTAAAAAAAATAGGAAACATTATTTCCACAAATTTATTTACCTACAACTAGAAATATTTACATATTTTTACAATTAATTTATTGAACGTTATTGCGAAATTATCGTTTACAGTCTGTAATTCGAAGTTTATCAAGTATTTGCTTGTTAACGTTACTGTTAAATTGTAAAATAAATCTGTAAAATTATCTATCAAGCAATTTTTTTTGTCGCCAATCAACATGATTTTTAATTGATTATAAATTTAAATAATACATAATTAATATGCTAGTAATGATTGATAAACATACTTCCATTTAAACAAGATAAGCAGTAAATTAGGCTTGTAAAACAGGTCTTTCATGCTTTCCTTGCAAGTCAGCATTAGCTGCTGAATACCCAGTGCCACCCTAACAAATACAAACGAGCATTAATTCAGTAATTATCTGTAGACAGACTTTGAAAAAGAATAACTTAAATAATTCAATCTAACTCACCCTCTGAAGTGGGATGATGTCTTCTTCAGTAATTTTTGTTCCATCCAGGGGATTAATCCAATCTTTTTTAATTATTTTTTCAACACATTCCATGGTAACCACGTCACCACTGAAATAAAATATTCTTGATGTAAAAACAATTGATGATTTTCGTAATCATTACTTACGTTGTTCTGATGACTGCACACGGAGTACTGTTACTCAATACGTCATGAGTAATTGGACACATAAACCTGGCGGATTTTACAATCAACGACTTCTTGTCATCTGGATCGTTGACTTGTGTGAACTTAATCTCAAGAAGATCTTTCATTTTGAGTATCTTTCCACTCACGGGGCAGTAGATGTTCTTGTCTGGCTTTGTAAGGATAAGTTCTTTAGCTTCTGGGGTTTTCGAAGGTATCCAGAAACTGGGTAAATGCTTGTCTCGGCCATTGTTCATGTTAGACACCGAAGAGCTTGCCTCTTCATCAGTTTTGTCAGTCTTCTTGGAGCAAATTGTTTTCTCCCTTTTAAGAAAGTTTTGCAACTTTTGCAGCTCATCGTTGGCTGTTTGTTCTTGAGATTGTTCCTGCATAAAAATGATAACCATCAAAACCTTGTTGTACAAGAAGGGCAACGAACAACACACCAACCTCTTGCTTCTTCTTCTGTCTCTCGTACTCCTTCAACTTTCTTGTATACTCTTTCTTTTTGGTCAAAATATACTCAAGTATTGCCTCCTTGTCAAAGAGATGTCCATCTTTTCTGGAAGTAAAATAGACCCATACACAATTCTATCAGTAACAGCAAACGGAAAATTGTGAGCAATTCGAGGACAACCGAATATACAAAGTAGTAGCACTAACGTTATGACTGGATTCCTGCAAGGTTGCAAGGACAAACAGCAGCAATCGAAATCCCTCAAGGAATCTTTTCCTACGCGCTGGCTGTTGGTGCCGTACCCCGATGCCGCAGCATCCTTTTTCTTCTCGTGGTAAGTGTAAACCGCTCCTGCTGTGCAGTTTCTTGCGTGCCTCGTCATTTTTTCAAGATCGCGATCTGATTACTAAAGATTCGAGTACTTACCTATTAAATTATTGAAACTTTTACTTAAACGCTGTCATCACTGTCGTCAGAACTAACTAAGTATCGTAGCGTAAACAACATAAAGGCGAGTCAGGTGAGTATTGGGTGTTTTCTGCAATCGGAAGTGAGAAAACTGCCGCACCGACGGCCAACAATGAGACCCATCTACTCGATCGACTAAGTCAGCGGTCGGTATCACAAGGTCCCTACATCAACTCAGATTTAACGCCATCTAGCGTTACTGTTGATGAACCAATTTCTGACGTTTTTTATTCTCTGCTTGGCCGAAAAAGACGGTCACCAGTCCGGTGCAGGTGGTATTGTGACCGTCGTAAATCAGTCAAACGAAAACGTCGGTTTTTAATTTGGAATTAGCAACGATAGATGGTGTCAATGACGTGAAAACTAAACGTGGTTAAACCGTCATTTTAAGTTTATTATGGCTGTTCAAAATTTAAAAAAATCAACATACAAAAATTGATTTGCTTAAAAAATCTATTTGCGTGATTTTCATTTCCATATGTTTTAAAGTGCAAAGGACAATTTGATTGATACGAAAACCGATCGATTGGTGGGAAGAGAGTTTTTGAAACTTTCGATGCAAAAAATTTTAAATAAATTATTACATTAAAAATATACATCGTTACACACGACAGATGATGGAAGGAGAGAGGGGCGTTTAAATCGAGTGACTAACACTTAAGTTAGCCATGAAAACGTTTTGTTTACAAGGCATTACCACACATTATTATTATTTTTAAAATTTCATTTGCTATTTTATCCTTTTTATTGCAGAACAAAAATATTTAAAACAAAACCAAATAAAAAATACAGTGTCGTCACGCTCGTATTAAATTCTGATGGAAACAAGTTTTTTTTTCAAACATAACTTTTAAATCATTCATCAAAATTCGTAAGCGAGCAACAAAAAAATCATGTATTACCGTGATGTAATAGCATTCTGACTTCATCAAAATAGACTGTGATTTGATTGTAAAATCCGTACTTTGATTTCCCAGCGGTTTCCCGGTCAATTAAAACTTTGATTATTGAGTCCCTACCGAGAATCAAAGTCCGCTAGAAACGTATTTTCACAAAAATTTTACGTATCCAAGGGTGTACGGTATACATAGCATACCTTCCAATTCGCAACGCAAGTTTTTATCATGTGACATTAAGTGGACCCTACATATTTTTCAAACAATTGCTACGATGGCGCGCTTCGGTTAACAACAATATTCATCTCAGCGGCAAAAGGTTTAGTTGTGGAAAATCGTTACCAATTTTTCAATGCATGTAAGCAGCAAGTTTTATTTTCCCGCCTCTCTAATCATTATTATGTTCCAGCTCCAACGATATGGTCAATTCATTGTACTCCCGCGCTAAATAACAGCAATTCTACAAAAAAAAAAAAAAAAAAAAAAAACAAACTCGCCGATTAATACGCGAACAAGTGGCCGTATATATATACCTATGGTTGAACAGTTATGCTTCGCTGGCTCGCCATCCTATTGTTACCGAGTTTATTTATCCTTCGTACGTATATCGAGGGAACAAAAAAAAAAAATGAAGCGCAGCTCACGATTTTTTATCGCGCGATTAATGATGATACACGCCAAGTTCGGACTTTATACCGCGAGCGACTTCGCTGTGCACATGCATGGTACGGTACACCCACGCGAATGTCGGGCACCGAACTCTCTTGCGACTATTATCATATATTTTACGCAAAAAAAAAAAAAAAAAAAAAAATGAAGCTAGTTCTCGCGAGTTAAAAAAGCGAATGAGTTTATCTGAAAGGCGCAAATTGAAAATAGGTACACGCGCATCGAGCGCATAATTATACACACAAACGAAAAATATAATGCAGTATCATATATATAGGTACGAGGATTACGCAACACCTGCGTGCACTTTCGTGCGATGCATAGACGCACAGGTGGATATTACTATTCTCGGGAGAGCGTCTTCTGCCATTGTATAGTGGAGCAGGGAACCATGGCCTACTTGATCAAACAAAAAAAAAAAAAAAAAAAAAACAACACCGCAACGCGATCATCTCTCTGTTTTCCGCTACCGTTTGTTAGTTTTTTTATTTTTCTAATTGATATCCAAGTCGAAGGGATCCAGTATTGGAATCCACGCATCTCGTAATCAGGAGCCTGACTTTTATCGGCGACAGTTATTTTTAAAAAATATATACAACGGCGCGCAGTAAGAGAGAAAGAGAGTGATTACCGGCTTTTATTTTTTTTACGTAAAACAGTAAAACATTTAATGCGCAGTGCACTGCACGTGTCAAAGACGCGGTGGGGGGGGGGGGGCGGTAAATCAGAATTCCACGACGCGGAAACTGCTGGGCAATATATTTCGTTTTTATTGACCATGGACTGACTCGCACGTCGCGTGCACGCCGCGCACCGATAATGGCTTCGTAAATTTGACGAGGGAGGAGGAACCCGTGACCAACGAAAATTAATGTATATATACCTACGCTACCGCGCTTTTATACCAACAAATACGCGTACCTACGCATTGTCGTAGTTTCAAATTGTTATTGCTTCGTGTTGCACGACACAGTCGTGATTTGAAAAATGCTGGAAAAAAAAAACAACAAAACTTTTTTTTACCTCTTACAAGTATATAGTATTATGCACGCGCAGTTGAGGCTTTTTTTCCTCCTCGTCGCCGAGTCGTGCCGAAACTTATCTCCTTCTTCCCGATATCATCATAAGCCACTTGAAAAAGCCAATTCCCCTAAGTGGAGAAGCTAAACTTCTTTTTTTTTTTCCCTCACAGTTACTGCAATATACGCATACGCACGATATACCCGACAGAGCTAACGGGAGTTTTTAACTCAAATAGGGACACGAATACCATACCGTAAAGTTATGATTCTCTTTTTTGCATAAAGTTTTTCGCTCCAATAGCACATACCAAGGGAAGGAAAAAGGAAGCACTCGGTCGTAGGGGTTGTTACTGTCGATGTACCTACAGTGCACTTGTTTGTCTTCTAAAATTGAAAAAAAAAAAAAAAAAAAAAAAAAATAGAGTACCATCCGAAGAAATTGCGTTTGAAACAAAAAAGTGCACTGCACTTTGTTGAAAAACACGAGACCATTTACTTGTAAACAGCTCGAATGAGTCGAGCTTATCTGGCGCTTATACACTGCTCCTTCCTCTATGCCTCTCTGCGGTGACAAAAACAGCGTAGTCCAGAGATACACCTCTCCCATTTCCCGTAGCACACAGTTCTTTTACTACTCTCTCGTCCGAGTTGTTATATTAGCTACTTTTTACCCTCCGACACATGCACTTCAGCCTTACATGTATACCATGATGTGACGTAATTCTTGTGATCACCACACTTGTGCTCAGCAGCAGGCAGATGACGAATGGCCCTTTTTTATTCAAATCTTCGATTCCGTTTATAATCGATGCATATTTTTTTTTTTATCCCGAGCAAATTCAGCGCTTTCTCGATTTTTTTTTTTTGCAACCGTACGTTCGATCGGCCGCTGCGAGCTTTTACGTTTCGAGCACGCGAAGATGAATGATGGCTTTTTAATAGCTGCCGCGGGTAGTTGTGTTTATCAAGTGGCTCCTACTTCGTGTATCTTTTGATTGGTAGTGTTTTTTTTTTTTTTTTTTTTTTTTTTTTTTTTTTTTTTTTTTTTTTTAAGTTTTT